AGAAGATATATTGTGCTAAATCAAAATTGTAATCACTCCAACCTTAGGCTATTTAAAAAGCTCAGCACTTTGGATGAGGCCATGTTCCAAATTTTAGATGGAGAAGGCAATCATTCTCCAAGGTGTATCAATCTACGATTCATGCTTCGTGGACAGGCACATAGAATATACTCTGGGGTTTCTTTCACCAGCCGACAAACCCTACAGTCCGTCTCTACAGAAAGACCCATTTAATTAATACCGTACGTTAACTTGCAGTGTGCTGTCAGGTTGCCAGTAAGAGTTCTAAGTTCAAGGTGTCTTTCGGAGTTCCTGCTGGAAAGAGTTATGCATATCTTTGATTGTCTTATTCCCTTTGACTTCCGCCAGTAGGCAGCAATTTGAGATTATTCCCAGCTAGCTCCTAAGTAGGTCTGCAGTGTATCCTTTAGATGTACCACAGAAAGGCTAGGGACCATGCAAACGCATTTGGGCTTCACGCTTTGCGAGACAGTCAGGCCTTTCGTTGCCTTCAAACCCTTCATGCGTGATGCTATTGTGGGCTCGCAGGCGGTTCAAGAGTTTACAAGACTTGATGCCGTTTTAAAGGACTCTAAGGCCTTTAACGCTGCCTGAATGTCCGACATAATATTCTGGCCACATTTGCCTTCTACGATGACATTCGCGAACACAGACTTCGATTGGGAAGACTTCCGCCTGAAATATGGTTGAGTACGAGCCCATCGGCAGACTTTTCTGGAATCTTGATCCAAGTACGCCATAAATTATATCGCTACCTAAAGGTGAAAAGGTGCCAAGTCCATTTTTTTTCAAAGTTTAGTTTTTGATGCAGAATGAGAGGTAATACGAGACTACATCGATTTTTCGTCTCTCCTGAAAAATTTCTAAAAACGGACTTGGCACCTTTTCACCCTTAGGTCACGATATATGGATGTTCGTATTGCATATTGGCAATAATAAGGTATACGTTTGTACTTAGGAATCAGGTATATTTACATGTTTGTGGCCGCCATTATACGAACGCACCGGTGAAATATTTGTGTAAAAATGTTGCTAAAATATTTGGAGATACGTACATATTTTCTATTTTTCGCATATAACTATTACTCATTGTCCCGAAACCTACCAAAACCCAATCAAGCCTACCAACCTACCAAATGGAAAAAACCTACCAGTTTTGGTAGGAAAAGCCCATGTTTGGCAACACTGTTCTCAACCTCCCTGCAAGCCAAGGCACATAAATACAGGTAGAAGCCAAAATGGCGTTGCTCTCATGAGAACCAAACCTTTAAACTTCAACTTGGCTTTCTTTTATTTCCTATATTTCGTTACGCTTTAAATGTCATGTCGTTTGTTTTTTTTTAATGTTCGTTAAAAACAAATTTTAATTAACATTTGAATTTGTGTAGTGTTGTGCGGTTTATAAATCAAATACCACTAATTTTTTTAACGTGCCTCAATGTCCTTCGCGTGAGGAGCGTTGAGAAAGCAGCTGTGGGGCAGAGCCGCAGCGAAATGCCTTGCTGTGCGTTACAGGCTAACCTAATATTCGCGGCTTGCGTTTTGGTACGCATGCCGTCGAATTTGTTTTTTTGCGTCACCCGAAATTGACTTGCATGTGTTTGCATTTGATTTCATTGAGCGAAACGTCAAATCAAAATGTCACGCAGAACAAAAATTGGAAATTGAGTTAGCTTCATATGCACGCCGTTCAATTTCGGTTGATCTCATACAAGTTGCATGTGCATGAGAAATTTTTGACAATAACTTGGCGGCGTGCGTGAATATTAGGTTAGCCTGTTAAACATATTAAAGCAGCAGATTTTATAAATGCACCGGGTGGTACAGGAAAGGCACGTTTGATGCCAAGTGCTGTTACTATGACTCTTAAAGTGTGTTTGCATTGTTCAACTTTGCGTTCAACATTTGCGTTCAACTCAGCGCAGGGTTGCACGAAAAAAAAGTTGTATGGCTAAAAATATCAAAATATGAAAAAATATCATAATATTCGCCATAAAAAGGTGTTTGTATTGTTCAACTTTGCATTCAACTTTTGGTTGAATGGCCTTTCAACTAATCGCTTTCAACAAAGTTGGTCGCCAGCCAACATTTAGCCATTCAACTTTTTTTTCGTGCAACCCTGCGTTGAGTTGAACGCAATTGTTGAACGCAAAGTTGAATAATGCAAACACTGCTTTATGCCGAAAAGTCCCTCCAACAACACTGCAACTCATAAATCAAAGACAGAAAACAACAAACGAATTAACAAATTTTAACTAGAGAAAATAAATAAATAAAATTAAACTTCAAATTTACTTAAAAACGTCAACCAGTGAAATGTAATTTTTTATTTTTCCTTACACACGCTCATTTTTATTTTTACTCTCCCGAAAACTTTTGTAGGTTTGACGTCAAATTGGCTTCTACCTGTATTTATTGCACCATGCCTGCAAGCCATGGCTGAGCAGTTTCCCCTCAAATTCGACAGATTTACACACACCTTCGCAACTTTTTAGCTATCACACGCACACATTTACAATTTTGGTATTCGAATTTTGAAAAATTTTTCATTTGCTAGAGCGGAATTCCTACTTTTATAGGAATTGTGTGCGTTAAAGCGAGTAAGAAATATGGCAGTTTTTATGACAGTAGGCTTTGACGAAAAATGTCACATTTGATACAAATTTTGGAACAAATGCACAATACCAACAAATATCGAATTAAAAAAAAAGAATAGGATCGATAGAGACCATTGAGGTGAACATAACGGTATATTTATTTTTTTTGGGGAAACAACAACTACAACAATTATTAAAGGTCAAAGTTCAAATTAAGCATTTTCTTAAATTAATATTTCTCGAAAACCTCTTCAAGGAATTGGTCATTTGATAGAGAATTTAATTCTCTTTAATTTGATATACATATTTATACATATACCTTTTTATAGTTTTCACAAAAATCGAATTAATGTGGAAAAAAAGTATATAGGGTTTTTGTGTATAAACTTCTTTTTCGTAGGCGGCATTCGGCCGCACTTATGGCTTATAACCCTCACAAAGTAGAATTCTCTTTCTGTGTTGCGAAGAAAAGGCGCTGAACACCTTTTGCAGAGAACACCTTTCTGCGTAGGCGGCCTTCGGC